TCAGGCAAGCTGCCTTCCTCTTGTATTATAACATATGAGAAGTTTACCCTAAAAGCTCTGTTTCCACCATCTCCTCAAACTTAGTGCTGAATACAGTTCATGGTCCTTCTTCAGAAGAAATGAAGGGGTAAGAGCTTTCTAGTAAGTCTCCAGTCTGCCTACAAGTAAAACTGATACCTAAGTAACCCCATCATTATGGTACTCACAGCTTTGTCACAGGTGCTTTTTCTGAAGATAACTTGTTTTTGAGGAGAATCAGCATTCTTCCCACCTATCCCTGTCTTTTGGGACTCAGGGCAGCTCATGGTCAAAGATGGGGATGTGACTGAGGGTGAATGAAGCTTTTCTGCCCCAAAATGTCCTGGGAAAGATGCCAAGAAAAAATAGGTGAGATAAAAGCAGAATTTTATTTGTTGGGCAAAGCACTGTACTTCTATGTATAGTTTACCATTTCAGAACCCCTGACATATCCACCTTTTGACTAGGGAATGCTCAGTCTAAGAGTTAGAAAGGTGGTATATGTTGGTAAAGGAGTCTGCCCAAACCCAAAATGAGAACCCATCTGTCCTACTGCATTTTCCTCAACCAGAACCCAGTGCAACCCATTACATGCAGGGTATCACTGAACTCAAACCAGAATGGACATTATGGATGTAACAGTCCAGCTACCTGCCCAGAAAGGTAAAAATTAGAATCAGGAGTAGGGAACAGCTTGCACCCAAGAGAAATAAAATTCTTCAGAAGAAATATAAAAAGGAGGTGGAGGGAAAGGGGGGAAAAAAAGAGAAGGGAGGAAGAGAAAGGGGAGATCACAAGGGCACAAGAGATATCCACAGAGTGGAGTCTGGAAAACCTAAGCAGTACAAAGTAGAGACGTTAGTTCTTTCATTTTGTTGTAAGCCATAACATAGCATCCAGTTAATGATTAGAGAGCAAATTCAAAATAAGGTGAAGTTCCCCAGTTAACAGAAGATTCAATGTGGCTCTGGAAATCACTAGTATGAATCGATTCACAAGATTATACATTCACAGGGAAAAGGCTTTTGGCAGGTGTTGGACAGAATGATCCAGGTGCAACCTTAACCCTGTAAGACTCTGAAGCTGAGGAGCAGCATCACGAAAGGATGATGCTACACATGCCCTATCCCTACACTTCTCACCATCAGACCTGTGTGAATGAGTACACACACTGTCTTAGACCCCTGGCCTGATGGTGTACAGCTGTCCTTGTAGTTTGCTCCCATTCTATCTGTCTGCTTGCTTTCCCATTTTAAAACTGCTTCAAGAGTAAAACAGTTTCTAGGGCCTACTTGCATACAACAAAATGCAGAAAAAGGTGATATTTTGCTTCTTACGTTTTCTGAGTCCAGACTAGTATTTGTTGCTGATTAGGCATGCTACTCATGCTGTAGACACAAATAAACAAAACAGAAAATAATATTAAATACCTTGCTGGCTTCCAAATGCCACAGGAGCTTCCAGGACTGAGACAGGAACCCTAAACTAGTGAAGGAAGATGAATTTTCCACACAGCTGCATCCTATGCTCCTTTGCATCCACCAGAGGCAATCACTGACCTCTTCACCAACAAGGAAGAGAATTTGTAGGGGATTTGAAAGCTTGTCTCTCTTTGCATCCATGCAAGATTTCAAGAATTAATCCCCTTCCAAGCGCAGATACTGTACCTGAGCTAAGATTCAACTGGAAAGTGGTTAAGTCAGCAGCATAAAGCATTACCTAAGGAAGCTCAGATAGTCAGTGAGGAAATCTGCAATGTCCTACTCACATGTTTTGTAAAGACTACAGACTTACATAGCACAGGATCACTACTAAAAGCAGCTTTATTTATTCTAAAGCTCTGTCTAATCCTTCCTAGGACTGCAAGACATCCATCCTGGCAAGAAACTGGACAAGATCCATATATGAGAAAGGGAGTTTATAAAACACAAAGATGCCATCTTGAAGGACTACCTGAGAACAATGTAGTATTCTCATGATCACTAAGCAATTTATCTGTTATTGCTCCACTAACAACCCACTAGCATGCTGATGCAAAACACTATGTTGCTGGCTAAACACACCCCATCTCCTTAATTTACTAAGAGGCACAGCATCCACGATGTAAGAAACACAGAGATTTCAATAAACTTAGCTTTTCTGTTCATGAACATCCCAAGAACAGCTTTCCCCTCTCACCAATGAACTTGGCCTTGACATTATGCACAACAGTATGTCTAATTTTTGGCTTGCAAGCTATGAGAACAGCTGTAGCTTTCCTCTGGCTGCATCTGCTAGTTTGATACAAAGATCACATGATATCCTCCCATTTGCCAGCCTAACAGCTGCCTCCAGCTCAGGCACCTTTGCAGTCACAAACCAAGCTTGCTTTTCACAAACTGTCACCAACATCTGCCTGAATATAGTGGCCTGTGTTACACAAATTATTTTAAAAAAATGAACACAGGAACCAGTGTTCCTCACCTCTTTCAGGGTTTTCCAAATTCCAGCAACATTTTATTTAACTGGAGGTGAATTACTAGGAGCTTAATCACTACTCTGTCTAATCAAGTCCGGCAAACACAAGCCATCCAGCCATAAACCACAGGAAGCCACATGTGGCTGTGCTGCAGAAGGAAAGCCAGATCCTGGTTGTAGAAAGTAGGGAAGAAACCCCAGAAAACAACTTGGGAATTTAGCAAGTTCTATTTAGCCACACTTTGCAAAAGCAAAAAGGAGAAGGATGGTTTTGCACAAGTTTGTGCTGCTGCCACTGCAGGGTTATTTGTCCTTCAGGGAAGGAAGGAGCACTCCAGCTAGCACATGGTGTCATTGCAAACATCTTCAGGGGACCCTGGAAACAGCTTCTCCATAACACACACTCCTAGTGTACCTGTAAAAATGAAGCAAGATGCCCAACCCATCCCCCCAAAACCACCTGAATGGCAGCTCCACCTTCAGCAGTGAAACTGCAACAGCCACCTCTGCACAGCAGGTACCTTTGTGTGCTCTTCCTTCTCTCTGCAGGCTGAAGCAGAGGAGGCAACAGAATTAATGAAATAAACAATAGGGGGGGAAAAAAGCACTAAACTTGCTCACTAGAATTTCCTACATACCTTGGTCCTAAGGAATTTTAATCTAAAATGCTTAAGGTCTTAGCTAGCTGGCCATTATCCTTCAGCACTATTAACCTACTTCATAACAGCATCAACAGGCCAAACAAAGCCCTTTGTGTAAGATCTGTGTCCATGTTGTAGAAAAACACAAGTATAGCAGCCAAAATTATAAACATCCTAAACCCATTCTGATCCTCCTCAGCAGATCCTGCAGTTTTTATGTTAATCTCCCAATAATCTTTCATCTGCTGACTTGCCATTTAGGTATCTGCTTTTCCACAGTAACTAATGTCACCTGGACTTGTGGCAGGTGCCTTCTCAGGGACTGTCTGCCACCACAACTGGCAAGAAAAAATTCTGCCTTTAGAACCTGTTCAGAATCCTAATGTTTCATTTTTGCTACAGTTCTCACTTCCAAGAGCTGAGCAGAAGCTTCTTTTCTTATGAAAACAGGAGGGTGGTGAGTGATGGCTCTTAGTTATGAAACTTGTACATTGAAAAGCTGAAGGCTTTGCTTCATTACTCTGAAGCTGGAACTAGAGCATCATTTTCAACAAGGGTTTTTAAAGAAATGTGCAACTCCTATTTCCAGGCTTTAAAACTTCACATGATAGCAGCTGAAGTCTCACAGCAGGAAAAGCCGCCTACTTTCAGCAGTGTCTGGAATACAGATAGTGATTTCCTCAGTTCAGCAGTTTATCCAAAGCACCCAGAAATACATCAGCATTTCAAGGACAGAGGTACTTGTTCAACGTGGCAAGACTTCCTTCAGTCTTGAGGCAGTATTCCCTAGACAGGGCAGCCCAGGTTGCACCTGCAGGACATAAGAGCATTATCCTCTGTCCCTCTCTACACCAAATCCCGCAGTGCAGCTGAACACAAATCCACAATTCATCAGGAACATGACATTTCAGGCTCCCCTCTGCACTCATTCAGAACGAGATCTCACACACAGATACACAAATAAATGAATCAGAGCATTGTGGGGTTTTAAAAGCAGAGCACAGGTTTATTTACAATCAAGTTCTTATGGGCAGCTGAATAAATAAAAACTTTGCCCCATAGACTCTAGTTCTCCTCTGCAGAAAGTGTCTGAACCGAAAGCTGGGTCAGAGGGAGCCTGTTAGAGCAGTTGCTCCCTAACCCAGCCCCTCTGAAGGACACACTTCCTTACTAAAACACTATTGGGAAAGAAGAAAAATAAAGTGCAAATAAAAAGGCAATAAAACGCTGGTGGCTTGTCTTGAGGCCCAGATGATGTGGAAAGGTTTGGCTGGATAAAGATATGCCAGGTAGCTCACCCCCAGCCACATCATGCTTTGGGATGCTAAAACACAGACAGAGCCAGAACACCACTCCGCAGCACAGAGGGCTCCAGCGCAGACGGGAATATTGCACATGTGCTTGAGAAGGGGGCAACTGGCCTGGAATTGCCAGCACCAAAACAATGGATCTGGGGTCTGACCCCACTGCTCCCGTGTTCTACTGACAGCTGCCAGGACAGGACGGATGAACAGGAAAAGGGACCAAACTTCTAGAATCTGGGACTAACTCACAGCATGACTACATTCCTCATCACAGCAGCACAACTTCCACAACAAGTTCAACAAGTTGAACTTCTCTCTCCTCAAACCACACATCTGCCTGTGGAATAAAAAGATTAAAAACCACCTAATTTTGTGATGTCCAAGCTGTTGAAGGGCATTTCAACACAAGGGTGCAGAAGTCCTGAGGAATGGACCGCTGCCTCAAGAGCAGGTGAAACAGAGCTCACATGACAGTGCTGGAGAGTCTGTGCTGGGATTAAAGCAGATCCCAACTGAGGTGGTAACTCAAAGGCCAGTCTCTCAAACTCTCAAACTCAAACTCTGCCAGAGCCACAGAAGACTCTGTAAAAGCTGCTCCAATACTTCAAACTGCCTAGGACCTGTCCATGTTTCAGGATCTTCTCACCCCATTCCTGAACTAGACCAAGCGAATAGAACACAGGAGACAGAACATGTGTTATGTCAGCATAGTCAGTAACTTCTTTCTAACGTTTCCACCTCAGAAGTGCTGTAGATACATTTGTGTGACAGGCCATTTGGCACAGCTGTCTGGTGAGGAATCCCATTAGTATCTTCAGCTCCACTTGGTGCATAGATACTGCATGTAAAGGCATGACTAAGTAGCATTTTCCATCCAGAACAGCCAATCCCTTGCTGAGTCCAAGTGCAGTTACCGCTGTAAGAAGTCTCTGACTCAGGCTCCTTTCTCCATTGCTTTAGAACTTTCCTCTGGAAAGCAAAGCCCATGCACTTGTTAATATCCCGACTCAGGATGGGTCTGGGCTCAGGTCTCCAAGCTGTTCAGCCACAGACCAGCACCACCACACACAGAGCCTTCCACCTTTTGTCCAGTCAAAATTCAGACCACAGGACAGCCTTGTTTCCTTTGTCCACACTGACCACATGGGCACCTGCTGGCGACCATGCAACTGCATTGATAGAAGAACTGAAATGAAAGCCAGGCATAAGTTTACAAGAAAGCTGAATTCTGCAACAACAATTAATGCTGGAATAAAACATTATAGGACTCTGATTGTTAATTTCTTAAAAAAGCACTTTCTCAGCTCTCAAGATATTTGGGCTTTTAATTAGCCTGAGATAGTTTCTTCCAAATATATTGAATGTAATTTATTAGAATCACATCTCAGTTTAAGAAGATAACATGAACAAACCTAAGCTGAATTCAATCTAGAAAATACTGCTGTGAATCCACAAAGAATCTGGGTGTTAAAAATTCTCACACACCAATGTAAGTCGCAAAGCTGTACAACTACAACCCTTCATAGCTCAAGCAAGAGTCACAACACAGATCCCCACTTTAGATTGCATGTCCTGCTTCCCCTCACCTGTGATGCTTTGCTAGTGTCCTCTCCAATTTCCCAGTGAGCACGCTCCAAATGTAGAGGGCCCCATCAGCTGAACCAGCAGCCACATAGCTACCATCAGGGCTATGAGATCAGAGAAGATGCAGAAGGCAGAGAACAATTTTCAAGTCAGCAACTTATCAGCACACATCATTATTTTGCCCACAATTCTTTCTAAGCAAGAAACTTGGCATTAAATAAGTCTTTCAGAGTTACAAGTTACCAGCTGCTAACACTAAGAGGTGAAAGCACTTTGAAACCAGAGTTTCCAAGACATTGGCTCAACATCTACATATATAGTCTGTCTTCACCAAGAGGTAACCTTGGGCAAATCACAAACTCTGGCCCAGTTTTACTAGCTGTAAGTGGGGATGATGCAGCCAAACATCAAGAATGGATCACTTACGCTGGGGAACCATTTATCAGGTGTCTTGCTTGTACCTGACCTTACCTGAACACAACTCTCGTCCAGTCAGAGCCACATTTGAATCCCTGGGCACTGAAAAGATAGAATCAGATAGTTGTTAACTCATTTATAAGAAGATGGACTTTCAGGTTGTTACTAAAGAGCACGGTAACGATTTCTGCATGGTTCAGAATAAACTCCTGCATCCCTTTATCACAATTCACATTTCTCACACATCCTCCACTCTATGGCTTCTGAAGAAATTCTTTCCTTTATTAGACCCAAGACTTCTAAGCCAAATTACCTTCTTGAAAGAGGCACTTGAAAAGATCCATCAGAGCAGATCTTTGTGGTTAGATCCTAGAGAATTTTGTCACCCATGTACGAAAAAAGTTAGGTAAGCGCTCTCTCCATGGAGATACTGAATAACACTCCAGCAATGAAGGCAAGCCACAACCCAGAGGTCTGAAATTCAACATGGTTTTGTGGAGGACACTCACCTGAATGTCTGCTTGACAGCACTAACCCGCAGATCAATTATCTTGAGTAGATCGTCACGGGAACAGGTCAACAGCTCTGTTCGCTCCGAGTTCAGGTCCAGAGCTGTGATTCTGCCAAGCAGCTCCAGCTCTTTTACTATGCTTTCAGTCCTGAAGGTGGAAAGGAAAGAAAAAAAGGAAAGAAAAAAAGAAAGCAGTAAACCAGAGTGCATAAGCCAAAACACTGCATCAAAACTTTGACTTGTCCCAAGGCAGAAGAAGAGGAGAAAAGGGATTACTGATTTATTCTCACAATTTGCTTCTTTCTCAAACTAGATCCCATCTTGTGGATAAGATTTCCAGCCAACAGCTGGATACTACTTCCCTCACAATCCCACCCTCTGAAAAACTAAGTAACATCTAGAACAGCAAGTACCGACCAATGCAAAGTATTTACAAGCAAGCAAAATAATGGCATCTCCCCAAAAAATAAACCAAACCCAAAACACCGAACGGTATAACAATAGTAGCAAAAGTGGCCTTCTGCAACTCTTAAAACAGCCTAATCAGCTTCCAAGCTCAGGAAGAAGAGTTCCCTTGTTCAGATTATACTGAGAGCAATCCCATAACCATCCCCACACCACAAACTCTCCTACAACAGTTTTACCTGATGTCCCAGAAACGAATTTTCTTATCAAAATGTCCACTCATTACACACTGCTCAGTACACACGATGTCATTGCAGCTAGATCCTGCAAACACTGTTTTTATACCTAAAAAGGGGAAACCAACGGTGACACATTGAAATTCATACTGTACAAATGGATGAAAATAGAGACAGAAAACCATCACTAAACCCTCCCACACACAGAGTGGCCACACAGAGCAGTGCCCAAGGAGTGTCACAGGGCAAACTCTGTCTTAGAATAATCCCAATTTAAGTCTTCAATAACCTCTCCGCCCTTCTCAATATCCTTTGCTGGGGCTAATATCCCTTTAAATGCTCCTGAAACAGCTGCTTTACTTCCACTTCATATTTATCAGTGATAATTTGCCGCTGTTAAACGACATGAAACTGTCTCCTTGACCTATGTTTGCAGTCCACGTGTCAAGGTAACCTTGAATCTTGACGGCTGTCTCAGTGCAAGCAGGTTAGGAGAAAAACCAAGGAAATAAAGTATTTATACCACAGAAAAGCCTGGATCTTAGCAATTCCTTCATTTGAGACATTGTCATTTTTGGTACATTTCCAAGAGAAATTTTCATACACCTTAGGGTTAAAAACTCTGACCTGGCTCCAAGTTTTTAGTGGAGGATTGCAATACCCACCTCCAGGTTGGCAAACAGAGAACACTCCTAGAACACAGCTGCACTAACAGTGCTTCCTGCACACACATGATTTCTTATCACAGGTAACAGGCAGAAAGAGCTCAACTTCTTGAGTAACACCAGAAGATGGCATGACTTCTAGTTGTTTCTTTTTTAGACTAGCAAGAGGATGAAATAAGAAGTCTGATAACCAGACTTCCATGCACATTCAGCGGAAGCACAGATGGAAGACAGAAGTTAGGTTTCCTTACAGACTTTGCTGCGGAGGTCCCAGAGCTTGAGGGTCCTGTCGTGGCTTCCAGAGACAATGCGCGCATTGTCCAGCAGGAACTTGGCTGACAGAACTTTACCGCTGTGACCTGTCAGGGTGTGCTGAGGACAAGAGATTTACATAGTGAAATATTCTTTGGGATATTTCTACTTGCTTAAATCTAAATTTGCATGTCTACTGGATTGCTTGAAGGAAAACAAAAAGATCTATTAAACAGAGATGAACACTGAACAGAAACATTAAGTGTCACAGAAACCAGTCTGAAGCTGGGAGACACAGGTCACCTCTGGCTACTCAGGAACCTGCAAGCTCCTTTCCTCAACGCTCCACACTCCTACAGCTCATGGACAGATGGCAACTGCAAAATAGCCTTACAGGAGTGATGAGAAGGGCTTAAAGCACGCTGAAAATGGAAATTGTGCCTTCCTGTTTTTATAATGAGCTCTCCTCAAGGACACAACAGGGTATATAGTCTCAACTGTTGTTACATCTTCAAGCTTGAAAGTTGAGACAACCAGAGATTTCAGAGAAACTCCCTGCAGCAGCTCCTCTAAGTACAGGAGGAGGCTCTGTGGGGCCAAGAACAGGAACCACATTCACTTTAAATTGTTAAGTATTTACTTACTAAATCACAAAACAGATAATGACTGACTGAAGTAAGAGTTGTGAAAAACAAGAGAGAAATCTCTGCATTTAGGTTTTTTAAAACACTCAAAGGGCCATCAAATTACACAAAGCAATCTGGGCCTGGGAAACACAAAAGAAAAACCCTTAAGAGTGGAAAGGAATGGGAACAAAATTTGGAAATAAAGACCCTGATACACAATACAAACTCAAAAGATCATCACAGAAATACCGCTTTGTCTTAAGAAAGGACAGAAACTCCAGCCAAGGGGATCTAACCTTCACTCTGCATCTCTCTTCTGCTCCTGCTGCACTTGCATTTACGTAGGGAGTTTGTGGCAAAGTTTAATGTGATTTCAGCTTCCCTGCCTCCTGTTTATGTGCCAGCCATGACAAACCCACAACACACACTCATAAAACAAAGGGTGAGCGGCTTTATCTCACCGAACAGTGCATGCACTCCAAAAAATTACATGACGATTATATGAAGCCAGGTGAATGCAGCAAGTCACCTGTAGTCTGATAAGCTTTGATTCACTATAATTCACATCCAATATTAAGTTTTGCAGCCAAAGAGGAACTACAAAAGAGATGATATTCTTCACTTTCCTAACTGAGACCTGACATGTCCACACTGACAACTACCCAGGGAATTACAATGCATCTGTTGGTTATAACCAACATGTAAAATGTCAGATTTGCAACATCAAAGTAGCATCTTCTAAAATAAAAAATTGAGGAAGTGTGGATAGGAGATGACAATGAGAAAAAAACCCCTCTTAGCTAAGAAACTTTTCTTCTGGTCAGTCAAAGGTGATTTTTTTTCAAATCAGAGGCAAGCATTAAAGAGGAACACGAGTACAAAGGAGCTGGGAGGAAATGAGGAATCTTGCAGAAGACATTGCAAATCAGGTCCAGCATGTTTAGGCCTGCTGCCTCGAGCAGCTAGGCAAAGGGCTCCTTTTCAAGGATGCTGCTCCTGACCTAAAACAAAAGTCCCTCTTCGTCTTTTACAAACCCTCCTTCAGCAGTCCTCTCCTTGCAGTGAGGCTAAAACATTGCAGTGGCTCTCCATAAACCATAAGAAGCATTAGAGCTTCCACAGAGGGGTATACCAAAGTGTATGTAGCATGGTTTGTGTGGCAAGGTTTGGCTAGTGAGGAGAAAAGCCAAGGAAATAAGATATTTCTCTCAAACCTGGATCTTAGTGAGGGGACAATACACAGCCACTGGAGCTTCCTGTAAGGCTGTGCAGAGACTGATACTGTATTTTAGGTCTCGCTGTGAAGACCCTTAAGATAAAGAACCTGTTAACAAAAAGAATTATTGTCTCTAAACGCCCAACTTCCAAACCTGCCATATCCCCATTAGACAGAACTGGGAGTACAAGACAGAAACAGCCTGAACATGAGACTCACCCGTAATCGATTGTCATCAACCGTCCAGATTCTGCTGGCAAAGTCATTTGAAGCTGCTAAGAGGTAAGAACCCTGTGAACACAAGACTCATTTAAAACACATTCTGCTAGTCACTATGCAAATTAAACTCAAACACTCCCAATAAATCATTAAAACCATATTAGTGCTATGGCTTTTGCTCCTCACCAATAGCAGAGTGATTTGCAGAATTATGACTATAGCTAAAACCACATATTTATTATAACAATAATAATGTATAACAATATAACCAGACCAGAAAGGACATTCTCCTTTCCATTCTGCTGCAGCAAAGAAAGAGGTTCTAGGTCACTCATCTGTTGTGGAGGGTTTTTTTCTTATTTTTTTTCTCCACAATGAAAAAGCCCTGCACCATCTACCCCCACTGCTTAGACAGGCCTCGGAGTAGAATTAGTTTGATTCTTACAATGTTCATTAAAAGTCTAACATTTTAAGCTAAGATTCAAAAAAACTAAATCTGTCCAAAGAGAGATAAATTGACTTGTTCACAGCTTTAGGGTTAGGGCTCTCCCAAGTCATCCATGATGGAGAATGGTCATCACAAAATTCATGCTTGCACTCCTGACCAATTCAAAAGGCTTTCCCGAATCCTTTTAAGTCCATTAGCATCTCATCTCAGGCAGCTCTCACCTCAAATGTGTTCAAGCAACTTGCCAAAATCACAGCTAGTTTCTCCTGCAGATTGACAACACCAGCACACCTCTAATGAACTGGTCAGTGTCCAAAGCAAGAATCCTTTTGGGTATCAATAAAGTTTAGAACGTAGAATCACCAAATGGTAGAAATTATGTCAACTCTGTGTTACAGAAGAGGTCTCAGCAGAAAAGTCAGATCACATGTCCACTTTGAACAATCCACAACCCCAAACTCCTTCAGGCAGGAGTGTTGGATGTTAATCCCAGTCATGTCTCCGATACTCCAGGTTAACACAAACTGAACACATCTCAAGCTGTCAGCAAACACTCTGCCAGCCACACCATTACTGTGCTGTGACTGGTGAGAAACTGCTGGGAGAAAAGGTCATGGAAGTGCAAGTCTTGGGATAATCAGACCTTTTACTATTCATCACAGACCTCAATAAAACACTTATGGAAATAAAAGTCACAAAAATAGTCTCAATGCATTTACTTCTTCTGTGCTGTTATGTCACTTCCAGTGGAAAGCTGGGGACTAATGTCTTACAGTAGACAAAGCTGAGTGCATTTTGTTTTAATTTTATCATAATAGCCCATAACAGCCAATGCCTGAGCTGAGTATCATCTTCTGAACTGTAAGGCAAAGATGAGAACTACAGACTGCAGCTTAGCCTATAAACATCTTCTGTACAATTTTAACTATTTGCAGTTACTCTCGTCAGTGTTTTAACTAATTTCTTAGGTAACTTTTTTAACTCTTAGAAGGAAAACTGAAAGCAAAGCACAATATAACTCCATTAATTTACTCCCAATCACAAACAGTGGATATTGCACAGATACTCACAGCACTATCAAATTCTATGCTTGTAATCCCAGCATTACTACCAGAGAGGGAACCTTTGGGCTCACACCTATCTGAACAGAGAAAGATGAACAAAAACTTAAAACAATGGATTAGAACAGAAGCTGACACAAAGTGAACCATAATATGAGTTTATTTAGCACCCCATCATACCCCAAAGCAAAAAAGGTTTACCTCCCAAGACTTCCCAAAGCTTAACCCTTCGGTCCATGCCTCCTGTTGCTAGTAACCGGGAGCCAGGGCTGAACTGCACCGCATTCACCTCCCCATCATGTGCATCCTGAGGAGGGGGAGGAACAGAACAGTCACCCAAAATGGAATTAGCACAGATTCAGAACCTACAGATCAGAAAGCTACAGAACTTAAAGAACTTATTCAGAATCACAGCTGTGGATCTGTCAGCAGTACAGAGGAAACAAAGCCACAGACTGAAACTCTGCTATGGTCAGCGGTGTACAGAGAGCAAAAACGCTGATCCTCATCTAAAGAAAAAAGCAAAAGCACATACAGAAAGCCACTAGCAAGGACTCAGCAGTAATAATCAACTGCTAGAAGCTTTACAATGCTTCTGAAGTTTAGGCTTTGTAAGGTAAGGTTTTTAACATCAGGAAAAAAACAATAAGGAAAGGACAGGACAGAACCCAGTAACAGGTGATATGTTGTAGAAGAACACTAACTTTTCACTTCTCCATCTAGAACCAGCCATGGAACATGATCCAAATTGTTCATGCAACCATGGAACATTCATGTCAGGCTTGAGTGAGGCAAGTCTTCTAGGAAACAGCACAACAAATGAACTGCATTCACTTTGTGTATTGCTGATAATGCTACTTTATATTGGTGATTAAGCAGTACCAGCACAGTTGTGACAGCACCTTCTTGCAGAGAACTTGGGCTTAAGCTGTGTTTCCTATCTGCAGGTGCACTGACAGCCCAGCACTCCTGCTTTCTCACAGCTTAATGTTTTGAATTCTTAACCTTTTGAACCTAAGAGAATTTTAAGATTCATTCCTTTTTATTCCCCCATTAACTTCACAGCTTTATACTACTTACCCACGGTATTACTACTGCATTCTTAATGAATTTGCTGCATTCCTTTTAAAGTATTTTCAATAACTGCCCTTTCAAAATCGTTTTTTCTGGAAACTTGGGTCATCACACTTCAAATTTGATCTTACTACAAGTGCAGAAGAGTCACTCACAACAAAACTGGTCAAAGGCCTTAGCTAGAAGCTATTCCCAAGAACAATGGCTGAAGTGACTACCTTTTCCAACTTCTACTCATCTCTCTAAATGTGAGCCCAGTCTGCTCCCTGCATCTGCCATCTCTCTGCCACAGAGTCCATGCATTAATTCCTGGAATGCTCTGCCAGACCTAGACATGTCTTGACACTCTATCTGGGCTCCAAAGACAGGAGCTAAAACCTGACAGCTCCCCTGATGCTCCCTATTCCACACAGCTCCAGCTGTCACATAAGTCCTTATTCTCACTTAAGGTAACATTGCTACTCCCTCCACCACCCAACCTCCTCTAAAGATGGAAACAGGGCAGGCAGGAACTCCATGCTGCAGTGAGCCACTCTGATACTCTGGATGAAAAAAATAAGTCATTTCACATCCATGAGAAACCCACATCCAGCTGTGGAGTGCCCAAGAAAGCTTCAGAGGCCTGTTAAACTAGTAACTGCATTATAAGACAATTTCCCACAGTACCTTTCATTCAGAAGACAATGTCCTGCACAGAAACTTAAGGCCGGCCTTGCGAGGCCAAAACCAAGCATAAAGGAGGTCTCAGCTTGAAAACCTTTGATCACGCATGACAAATGACAGCACCCCATGACCATGAGCTCCTCTCAGCCACATCTGTCGGATTACATTTGGTGCCACAACTCCCTTCACTGTGGAGAACTGGAACTGAATTAATCCCAGACTGTCAGCAATCCCTTCTCCTCAATCATAGCTCTACTCTGGCATGAAAGAACAGGGACTGCTGGGAGCCACAAGGGTAATGGGGTGTAATTCCCCTGTGCCCTCAGAACACTTCTGCATTATCATCATCGACCTCAGTAAGACAGACATCAAGCACACGGGCTCTGAGAAGCATTTAGGCTAAGAATTAAATAGACTGGACTATGCCATCAAGTCAAGAATTCCTTCTTGTTTGGCAACATTAATAGGGTTTCAGCAGAACAGTTTCCACACAGAGAGGATTCACTTTCTCCAAAGACAGTAAAAGGAACAGCAAAACAAAGGATTCCTTCTATACTCACAAAGACACATATGGCAGTAGTGGGCACTCTCACTTCTTTACTAGCACCTGGATGTGGCTCTATATTATCCTGGGGAGCAGGGAACGAGGACAGAGAACGCCTCCTGAGACAAAACAAAGCAGCAACATTTTGCAACATGAAAGGAACAGTGTTTCTCTCGAGTTCATCCCAATGTGTACCTGTAACTTAACTACGCTGCACAGTGATTCAACAATGGGGGAAGCTGCCTTTAGTTTTCCTTTATTTCATCTTTCAAAAATTACGTTTGTCACATAACACCACATCCACCTGTGGTTTGAGACATTTCACAGCTCACCAGATAAGCTATCTGAACTGATTACTGACCTTCTCTGGGAGCAGTCTTTATGTTTTAATGGCAAGAGAAGCATGGAAATGACTGCAGCACTATCAGTTTCTCTAGGGAGACAGCACCACTGCAGCAAAATGCTCTGTTCCAAAGCATGGGCTGCTCCATTTAAGCAAAGACCATCCACCTAATGCTTAGCTTCGAAGCACTGGTTCCACTCTGGATACTAAGCACAGAATCCAAGGCCTTAAGTTAAAAAACCCTATTACAAGAGCAAAGTGCAGTGGAAAGCAAGCGCAAACCCCACGCGTTCTCTCCGCAAAGAGGAGCTCATTGCCTCTCTCACTGTAGACAGCTTCTAGACAGAGTTACTGCTATCCTATCTAATCAGGATAATGCAGCTGGGTCCCACATTACTTCAATGGAATATATTCACAAGTTGAACGAAGAGCGGATAATGTTTTCACCTGGCAGCATCAGAAGGCTGATGTCCCAAAAGGGGAGACTCAGACAGACTGGAGGGAAAGGTCAGAGGTCAGCACACGGCAAGATGGAAGAAACAGGAAGTTGAGAACAAAAAAAAAAAAAAAGAAAACAAAAAAAGAAAGGCAGAAGCTAGAAGAAAGGCTGAAAAATATTTGTTCATATTCCCTGCATCACCAAGATTTTGGTGTACATTGAAACCAATATACAAAATGAGGTGAAAGTGTTCTAACCTACCCAAAGATATTAGTGATAGAGTCCAGAAGGCCTCCAGCTGGCTGGGAGAGTCGCTTACTGAAGGAGGGGAGGACAGGTTTAAACCTTGTGAATAGCTTCTCCACATAAAGATCAATACAAATACATTTCATAGCAACATGTCTCTGGACAGACTCCCTCCCTGTTGACCCAGCCCAGAGACAGAGAACACCAAAGACATCAGTGCAAAGTCACCAGTAACTGCAACTCAGAACACATTTTGTGAGTGAATTTTCTTTGATTTCCCTCAACCTCACCCTGTGAATTACTGGGTTTAGATATAACAGTCTGCCAAGTCTGAAGTTTCAACCACATTAATCCATGTTCTCATGGAACTACTACCTCTTACTTTCCACTCACTGCTATTTTAGAGAGAGAAAAAGATGCATTTAATCTAGGTGAAGATTATTTTCATTATTTCAGCAAAATCCAAACCCCCAGCAAAGTCATAATGATACCTCGTATAGTAACATAATACAAACAGGCACTGTAATAGTCTAATACCCATGTTATTGTTTTTACACCTTTGTTTTTAAGATCAAACACAGATTTTACAGGCAATGGTGTAATTTAAAGCAGCAAAGGAAACCTAGCACATCTTAAGCATGGTAACAAAGAACACAGCACACGAGTTTCCTATTACTCTGGTAAAGTACCAAACTCTGCTCCAGCTAAAGGCAAGCAAAACCCCTAAGTAACATTCCCAACATTGTTCCAACTCTAATATGCCCCTTGTTCCTCCCCAATGACATGCCACAAACCCTCTGGTGCACAAACCTGGACGTTCTGCTGACAGCTCGCACTGGGGACGTTTCGTCAGCTGTCTCAGAGGTTTCATCCACAAGCACTTCGATATCATCATCCCTGCTGAAGTGAGAGAAAACAGCTCATTCTCAGTCAGCCACAGCTTCCTATGGAAACCACCTGTTGACATACACGAACTGACAGGATGACACTGTTCCAGGGTCTGTCATTGTCCATGCCCAACCCACTCCAGGTTTATGCAGCTGTAGGTAGACCCAGACAACACACACACTGACCTAGAAGGCATTGCCAGAGAGAAAACATTCAACACACAGCGCCTGAAAATAAATACAGACAGAAGCTAAATTTCAGGTTTCTTCCTTCCAGCTGCCAATTACATGTCACTGACAACAGGACTGGAGTTCCACACATGCCCTATTTCTGTTGACAGACATCCTTTTCAGATTCCCTATATTACATATTCTATTTCAGCTTGCAGCACTACATTGTAACAATCTACCACATCTGAGTAAGACTTCACTACAGAGTGAATTACATTTTCTGGAACAGTTACAGAGGAGCAAAAACATGACTTACTGCAACCCCAAATATAGGTGCTATCAGCACCTTTTTTGCTGTTACAAAACAAGGAAGTGTTAAAAAAAGCACGAGTTTGAATTTTCCTTCTTCACCCACACAAAAGACATCCTGATACAACAGTATAGAAAGTATTTCAGGTGCCACTTCATTAAATATGAGGGATGTTTTGGTTCACTCCATTGAAGTGTTGGTGTATGACTGAACAAAAGTGTGATGCTCCAACACATATGCCATAAATTAATCCAGATAAATTACTCAGCTAATGCTTACGGATTTTCCCCCATTAGTCACCATGGGCTCTGACAGTATTTTTTCCTTCAATGTTGATTTTTCCTCCACTGCTGATTCTGCAGGAAAAATTATTTTTAAACACACTTTACCAACCTAATGCCATTTGACTGAGAAAGAAGTTTAAGTTCAGCAATTAAATAGGAGTAAACCAATTCCTGCCAACAGATAACACTCAGCTGCAAAAGAATTTGGAAGGATGGGACCATTTGTAATCCCTCATTTCAGAATATAGCTGATTTTGGAGGACAGAATACATGAAAAGGCTACAGACTGGACATATGAGGCTGATACTTCAGTAAAACACTACCAAGTTCTGTATGTATTTATTTCCTAAAATCTAAAGTTTGTGCTACTAAAACTGTATGTAGCAAAAGAACTTTCCACGTTAACAACGTTACTTATTATTTTTGTAGTGAATATAAACACCTTGAAACTGATGCACACCAAGTTCCACCTGAACGTGGAAGAATTTTACTCTGCAGTCACTGAGCCCCAGGAACAGGTTACCCAGAGAGGGTGTGGAGTCTTCCTCCCTGGAGGTATTCAAGTACCATCTGCACCTGATCCTGTGCCACGTGCTCTGGGATGGGCCTCTTGAGCAGGGAGGTGGGACCAGAGGACCACCCACTGGATATCAAGAAAAAGCCTGCACACTGCTCTGGAGACTCTCAGCAGTGTCCAGTAACAATGCAGCAGGTGCAGTTGTTCTGGATTGGGCTAAAACAAGTGCCAACAACCCTATCAGCCTGGTGCAAAGCACCTACACCATCCACTGCTCACTTCAGTCACCTGATTAAATACCACCCAGGGGTAAACACAGCAAGGGAAAGAACATGAGCCTAGGGATATTTCTTTACCAGGTAAAGTAACTCCATATCTATCTATATTTTTTTATTAAGAGAATAAATCCCTTCCAGTATGGAAGTGATTGATACATTTTCACTCACATTAACTCAGTCAGCACCTACTCCTACAGGAATTCCTTGCACATATTTCTAGTTCAACACTTTAAATTGCAGCTCCAGAATAATTGTTTCATGACTGAAGAACTATTTTAAAGACCAAACGCAACATGTAGCAAACGTTTTCATGCTGAGATAATAACATATATTGACCATATGAAGCACTCCTGGGTTCTATTTTTAGGCCTAATTGAGCTCCTTCTTCTAGAAGTTCAAGTAGGGACACTTACTGTACATTTCTGACTTTACAGCAAAGTTTAAACACTCCTTTACACCACCCAATTTAGAAAGAACAAAGATACCATTTATCATGCAAGAACTGACGAAGGAGACTCTCTAAATTGAGACTGCTTACGGTTCAACAGGCAGGGGCTCTTTGGCAGCTTCTGCCAGCTCCTTCTGCAGCCTAGCTTGGCGTCTCCTAAGGAAAAAACCCAAGGTTACTAAACAAAAAAACAACAAACACTTCCTGAATCCCATTCCAAAGGCACAGTTTTGATGAGCTTCATAAAATTTTAAAGGAAACAAAAAACCCACCCTCATACCACTGCCCTAATTTTCTTCTGCTTTTTAAGATACTCAGAGCAGCAGAGGCAGTTTTCTTAATAAATAGCGAAGGACAAGATCACTCAAGTGAGACAATAGGGCTGAGAGAACCTATGGCCCTCTAAGACCCATATGAATATGGATTAGCTTGGGAAGCAAGAACTTGCAAAACTAATGATTATGATAGTAAAGCTGATACAAAATTGCCAACTACTATGAGCCTTGCAATATAGCTCTTAGTCTCCAGGGGTTGTTAGCTGGCAACTAAGCTGAAGCAATTCAGAAGAAAAAATATTTTGCAAGGGAAAAAAACAATACAAACTTATCTTTGCAAGTTATCCCTAGCTCAGTCTCACAGCAGACACTCGTTTTAGAGGAATGCAAAAACACTTAAGTTGGTTAAGTCAAAAAAGGATAAAGCTAGGAGCAGTACAAGATGCAACACAAACAAGTCCAAATCTAATACCAGCAAAATACCCCTAGTTTCTATCTGATTTCTGATCTTCAGGCCAGAATTAAATGTTGCTCAAGAAACAGAAGGACATGTTTTATTAATTTCAAAGACAGGAATGTTTTCACAAAGCATCAGGGTGTGTTGGCCAGAAGGAGGAACACAAAGTTCTGGACTCTCACTGTGTTGTGCAAGAACAGAGATCTCATACCAAAACTAAATCTGGTTTTATCCTATGCACTCATAACTGAGAAATACATTTGGTTTATCAAATGGAGGTCACTGATCTCACCTTGAATCCTTTTCATTTTCTGCATTCAAACGATTGGCTTCTTGTGCTTTCTCTGCCATCCAGCGTGACACCAGCTCCTGATTATCCTCAGTAGTTTTCCTCAGTTTCTCCTCCAAGGCATTGAAGGTGATTTGGAGAGCATCATACTCATCCTTCAGTGTCTGATTAGCTCGCTCAAGATCTTGCAGTTTGCTGCGCAATTCCTGGCACTCTGTTTCCAGTTCAGAAATCTTTTGTAAATACTCTGCAATCCTGGAATGGCAACAAAACACACAAACAGTGAGGATCTCCTCTGGGATCTGTGCCATCTGTTTTGTGCTGTTTGCACAGTGCCTCACAAAGGCATTTTTAGCCCCTGACTGGGACCCCTAGAGAACACTAATAAGGGACTCGACCAGAAGTCTAGTCACAGACAAAAGAGTTCTGCTCACCTGGCTTCGTTCATCTGCATCTCTTTGTCCTTCTGCTGCATTTGGTTGTTCAGATCAATTACAGACTGGGCCAGCTAGGGAGAGGAGAAAATTACATTACAAAATACAGGGATGCCAGCCAGGTAACATACACTGAGCAGCCTCCAGTGCAAGTACAAGCCAAGCTAACATTACAAGTATGGATCACACCCTTCAGGTCTTTTCATCCAAGCTTTCTATGCAGATCTGTTTACTGCCCCATCACACAAGTCATTAAATCAGGGAATCCACTTTCAAAAATGAGCTGTCAAAAAGTTGCTGTACTTTGATATCTCACTCTCTTCCCTCAAAGTTTCTTAAGTGAGGTCACATCAAACAGAATGCATATTCACAAGAAATTTTAGCAGTGGAAAAATCAATACTAAACTAAAACTAAAAATGGCCAAGTAAGTAAATCAACCAATGAGTTCATCTGCTTAATAACCAAGCTAAAAACCTTTCTGTTATGGCCAGGACAGCCACTGCAGGGGATATGTAGCTCATATTATAAGCACAGGTGTCACCAAGAGTTCTCTCACAAAGAAAGTTGCTGGTGAAGTGTCTGCCAGTGCACAGGAAATAGAGGGGCAGAAGCCAACAGTAACAGCTCACAGCTACCCAGACAGTGTTTTGAGAGAAGTACCTGCCTGGGTAGGTGGCTTTTAGGACATCAGGCTGGGGGGAAAAATGGAACTGTCAGTACTCTGACTAGTCAGTGCATACCTCCTGTAGAAAGCTGTCTCCAATTTGGAAAGCCCAGAAATGCTGACACTGAGCTTCTCCACACCTCCAGTAAGGTGAGATCAAAGAAAGGAACATGATGGCATTTTTCAGGTCATTCACATCTCCTCCCTTTAAAAGCCTGCAGTACCACTTAGGTACTAGTGCTTGGACTCCTTCAGTCCACTGCTACGGTTTTTAAATTCCCAATTCTGCTGATGAGGCCTCCACATCCTCCTGTCAGAAAATCCCTCCAAAACACAAACTCAAAACACCTGGCTTTTCCTCTCTTCCAGGCCCAACTGTCACAGAATTTCTGGGCTCTAAACAAGCACTTCCTTTCCGGTCTAGCACCATGGCTCTTTCAACCTTGGCTTGTGCTTGTTTATTCTGTTCACTCTCACAGCACTGATGCTGCAAAGTGAGACCAATGAAACCACACACAGCCTCCTATGCTTTTGCTCATTCCAAGTCTTTCCAGAGTATAACTTTTCAAAGTCATGCACAGTGCTGTGAACCAGATCGGTCCCTCACTCCTCTAATAAATACAGGTAAAAACCTATTAATGAAAGACAAAATGAAGTGCTTGTGAAACATCATGCTATGCTGACAATGTAAGCTCTCATCTCCTAGTGTCAGTGATACAGACCAGCCATCCCTGGTTGATTTTAATCATCACCATGGGAAAGCTTAAAAAGGCTGTATACCGAAGATGGAGAAATAAACTTGGCTAAATGAAGGTCATGTTCCCAAAGTGCCAGGCAGGGACCAGAAGAGCGCCAGCGGACTCTAACCTCGCCACGTTTCTTGTGCAGCTCTGTCAGCTCCTCTTGATGCTTTATCTTCAGCTGTGCCAGTTCCTGCAGCTGAGCATCATTCCATGTGCCATCATGTCCTGGACTGGAGTTGGAGACAGAGAAAGGAGAGCTGTCACAGACTAGAGTCCAATTGTTTCTGTGCCTTTGACAATCTCAGGACAGACTCAGGACATTGCCTTCCTTGGATTCTCTGCACTACATTGGAGATGCAGGTTATTCCTAATAAACCAAACCACAGCTGAGTCCCCCTCCCCTCCTTCTCACCAACCAAAGCTCATCACATAGTACTGGAAAAAAATCACATTTCCTGAGGACTAGATTCACCTTTTGTACATTTCTGAAACAGAATTCAAACTCAAATGGAAGATCAGCCTTTGCTTAAACTTGCATGAAGACAAATGAGTCTTAAAAGTACATTCCTCAAATTCTGGAAAAACTGTGAGTATTGTACCACCCTGATTTGTTCTGGAGGGAGCTGGTGGATCTTGAAGATGCTACATATCTGGAGAGGGCACATTAAGGATGTATTCCCAGGCCCTTGGGTTTATAGTCCCAAGTGTTACAAGTGGATTCTTCAGTGTCCTACCTGTGCTCTTACTGCATAAAAGGTTTTTGACAAAGTATTTAATTGTGTTTTACAACACAGCTGTAAGTGCTGTGAGATAATCTGGAATTTCTATACACCAGAAGAACACATATCATCCCCCAAGCAACTGAGATTGAAGCATTTATCACTCATGTCTCTGAAAGCACAGAGACAGGAAGAGATAACGTTTTGGGAGCATAGACACACATATACATATCACACACACAGACCCTGAGCACATTAGAAGCTCCATTTTGAATCACAGCTTTTAAAAATCATCATTTTAAGTTCACCACCATCACACCAGACAAACAGACCAAGGTAATTGCATCCATTGCTGCAGTCATTCCATGTTATAACAGTCCAGCAAGGAACAGATAATGCATTCAGAAGCTGAAAGGACTCACAGTGATATTAGTAACTTAACACTCTTCTCAAAAACAAGCAAACAACACCCCACTGAGCTAATGGTGTACTAGAAGGCAGTGCATTTCCAAAAAGCTGTGTTCAAGCAGACAGGAAGTCAAGTCCTGCAGTAAGAGCCAACACATCCCATAACTCCGGCCAGAACTAGATACTGCACAACTCTACAGCCAGAACTAGATACTGCTTCTTGGCCTTGAGGTAGGTAAAAACATTTTTCCTCAGCTATCAAGAACTAGGAAATAAATTCTCCTTTAATAAACTGTCATATTCTGAGGACAGTATCAAAGCTCAGCTTGGTGTTTACTCTGAAGATGCTGTTGCTGAGAATTTCTTCCAATCCTCATCTACCCCACCCTCATCTCTAAGAGCAGGTTTTCAGCCAGAATCCAATCCTCATGAACCAAGATGTTTCAAGACACCTACAGCTATCAGAAAGCCTTTGGGAACTTTCCCACAGGACTTAACTCCAGCCTGCTGGCTGAACAGTGAGGTTTTGCCTGCAATTCCTGTCAAATCAGGAGCTGTTTCTTTCCAAAAAACCAGACACAGCCATGCAGTCAGGTGTTGCAGAGCTATGCTGGTTTCACAACAGCAAAGAGAACTTCAGCAGGGCAAGTATTTCCCATAGGAACAGGAAACTCTGAGCTACTTAGACCTTTCTTTTCTTCAGGTACACCAAGAGCAGAACCCAACAGCCTTTACCTGCTGTTATTGTTACAAAGGACACATCACCGGCACACTGGTTTGCTGTGGAGCCAAATAGCAGCGGAATGAACAGCATGAGCCCTGCCTGCAGCACCAGATTGTTCCCAGCTTAGAGAGGAAGCTTCTCAAAAAGTGCTGCTAAACGCAGGCAAGAGACACCTTTCCCTTAGCACACGGTGCTTATTTAAGACTGACACTTCACAATCATGTTTCTTTCTATTCTCCCCTCCTATGTGATAACATGGACTAGAAGGGACCAAGACATGAGTTCCTCCCTGCATTGCAATCAAACCATATCATAACCATTAGGAACTAACACCAGGCAAACATCATAAGCATTACAAGGCAAACACATCAGAAGCTCATTCCATTCCACCTCCACACCATGAGTTTGGGATAAATCAGTTTCTGTCCCAAACTTGGTCAGACCTTTCTGCACAGTAAACATACTGTGACTTTATCACATCTTTAGACACAGTTATAGCTTACTTTTAGTCCAACAGATTTCCCAGTTTGTTGTGTTCCAAGTCACTGTACTAACCCAAAAGCTGTTTGTGGTTTAGGTCACAGGGTGCATGACAGACTAGGAGTTTACATACCTGATCTCATGCCTGCTCTGCATGTCATATTTTTCTGCTTGAAGCTTATCAGCCAGCACTGCATGAAGGTCTGACTTCTCCAGCAGCTTGTTATCTGAAAGGGCCAAAAGTGCAACTAACAAAACAACGAAGAAGTAAAATCACATTTGCACCCTCCTCTTCTACCAGCTACGATGTAGTCTCTGTAAGGCCTCTATCCACTATGCAAACCTCCACCACTGCAGCATGTTCCCTCCCCTCTTTGATCTCAGCAGGCTATGGTACTATTCAGCTGCAACTCCCAAAATTCCTCACGGATCCAGTGTGGCACTGGTGTATGAAAGCTCAACAGGAGAGGAGAGAAGAGGGAGAGTGAAGGAGGGAGAGGAGAGAGGGAAAGACTTCTCAAGTATATTGCTATCGGCTGAAACAGGAAGAGCTCAAAGGTCAGACTCCTTACAGTCGATCGAACGAGAACCACAAGGAGCACAGAGATAGCTGCCACAGCAGCTCAAAATCAGCGCCGCAGAGTCCTGCCCAGGTCTGCTGGCTTCTCCCAGCTGGCGGAGCTATTGCCGCCCCTTCCGCTCGCCCCTGACACAGCTGCGGCAGGAGAGGCACAGACAAGTCCCGGACACCGAGCGCCGGTCCCGGGCAAGCTCCCAGTGCCACAAAGCCCACAAGCACCGTCAATAGCTGTATTGTGCCCGTTACACGCGCATCGGGGCGGCAGCTGCGCGGACAATTCGCGTATTCAATCACTGCCCACAGCACATAGGGAGCCGAGAAAAACAACCACCCAACAGAGCGCGGCTCCCAACTTTTCCCGGTCGTTCCGAACA